GTTTAAATGTGTTGATGTTGGTTAAATAAATTTTAAATTGTTATAAAATTCTGCATCTCTCATATCAAATATTATTTTCGTTTTAATTGATGCTCACAGCTAGAATTTTTTTGCATTGCAGCCGGTACCGTTCAAAGCCTACTTATTTAAAAGCGGGCGAATTTTTATATACTCTACATCTCGAAGAGGAATCGAGCAAAATATCAAGTGTGTTATATTTTTGGAAAGGTAATTTTAAATTATTTTCAATAAATCAAAAATATATAGGGTGTCCCATATAAAAAATCAAATTTTCTGTTGATAATTCTTAAATTATTAATTTTAAAAAAATTATACTTAAACCATTAAATTCTACGTCAAAAGGTGCTTTGGAAATGTTTTCATAAAAATACAAAATTTTCCATATCAAAAAAGTTACAGCGATTTGTTAAAAATGCATATTTTTGAAAAACACCCCGTAACTCCGAAACGGTAACAGATATCGATATGCGGTTTTCACCACCATGTTTTTGATAAGAATTGGGCTCCAGACACCGATATTAGTTTTTGTCTATCTCCTATAGAAAAGGGTGTTTCCATTTAAAAGCGTCGAATTTGACCCACCCTGTACAGGGTGTTCTATTTAAAACAAATCATCCCAATCCACTCACACTTTTTTGAGCCAGAAGAAGTTAGGTAGGTTTTGCGAGGTAGAAGTTAAAATATCTTCCTGAAATACATCCCAGTACATACTTTAAGGTCTGCACTTGTACAAAATTCCTAAGTTGTTTATTCCGGAAATTAAAAAAAAAACATATACATGTTTTAATATTTTTTTTTTAATTTAATACTGTCATTTGTAAAGATTTTTAAAACATCGTTGTAAATTCTGTAGGCGACCATCAGCGGCTATTTTTTTATAAGAAGAGCAAGTTTTATAATAATTCTAGCAAAAACTGGTTGCACCAGATCTTAACTAAAAAAGTATTTCAACGTAAGTGGTTCTCTAGATAAGTACAAATTAACTGCATAACTGAATCATTTTCTTTACGTATATGGTTTTTGAAACCTCTTAAAAATAATTTATGGCAAAATTAACCCAAATAAGTGGATATGGAAATCGAATTATCTGGATATCTAAATTCATGTTCTTAAAATATACCGGGTGTTTCTCAAATGTGGCTCACCCCTATAACTTTTTTTTTTTCAGATAAAAGCGAGATTTGGTATGTTAGTATATGAAGTAAATTAGGATTGATTGACGTATTCAATTGTTTTCGGTCACTTCCTCTTTCACCGGAAATGACTACAACTTTTGATTTTTAAATAGCACCCTCGGTATTTTTTTATCTTATTCGATAGAAAATGAAATTCTGAATAGAATGACATATCGCATACACCATAGAACAACATTTTTATTTTTCTCGTATAAAGCTGGATTTATGAACTCGGGAGTTGACGTTCAGTTGCAGTTGGATGTTCGCAGCAGTTTTGAGGTTCAATATTTTTGCATTTTTAAACTGTCAGTTTCGGTTGTAGGTTAGGTATAGAATTGTGAACCTAAATTTGGAATGTTTTTCTTTTGATTTAATAATACTTTTTATATCTTTCAAAGTTCAAACATAATAATCCAAGATTGCGCAAAATATAAAGAGTATAGAGGGTGTTCCAGGTTGAGCACGCATTAAAAGTTTCTAGAGAACAACAATATCTAAATCGGAGATTTTTTGCACATCATTATCATCAATCAATATCGATTAAAAATATTTTCAATACCGCGAAATACCGGATGTTGGCAGCTCTTTCTTATTTTAATTGGGTGCCCCCATTTTTTATTACATACTTAAATTATCTGTAAAATTGTAAGAATATTGATGTTGAACACTCTATACCTAACATTAACCGTTTTTGAAAAAAAAATATTTTATATTTTTGGACAAAAAAACTACCTGTCAAGAAAATGTATATAGCCTAAATCAAATTTAGTGATTACCACAGCCACTGTGACATAATAGTACGAGAGCTAGCAATGTCGGAAAAACAAGCATTTTAATACGTCTGGCTCTTTGATATATCTTTTATTATGCTCTCTAGAACAGCATGCGGCCCGTCTGGCTGCCGATAAACGTTGCGTTCCCTACTATCCGATTATAAACGAAAATAAAATAAAAAAGTCTTTGCCCTGACCCGGTTTCGAACTCTGAATCATCGGTTCGTGGTCGGAAACTCTACGCACTGCGCTATGGAGACATGTTCGATTTATATTCAATACTAGAATTTATAGGACTAGATTAATAAAAAATATAGGATCTTCTTCCTATGCGCAGTAGTGAACACTACGGGTATCGGCAGCCAGAGGGGTCGCATGCTGTTCCAGAGAGACCATAGTAAAATATATATCATAGAGCCAGACGTCTTCGAATACTTGTTTTTCCGACGTTGCTAGCTCTCGTATTATTATGTCACACTGGCTGTGGTAATCACTAAATTTGACTTTTAGGCTATATACATTTTTTGACAGGCAGTTTGTTTGTCGAAAAATATAAAATATTTTTTTTTTCAAAAACGGTTAATGTATACCTAACATTAAAATGAGTGTTCAACATCAATATTCTTAGAATTTTACAGATAATTTAAGTATGTAATAAAAAAATAGTAAAGTATATCAAAGAGCCAGACGTCTTAAAATATTTTCTCGAAAACGTTGCTAGCTCTTAGACTATAAAGAGGAGACATATGGCTATCTATTTCAAAAATTAAATTGTTCAAATGTCATATAATCATGGCGGTAGCTGTCATGGAATTGAGCGATTAAAAAATTATCATAAATCATTTATTTTCAAATTGAAACACACTTTTTTATATCATTACCTAGTGAAAAGGTCTTTCAATTCGTTACTTTTTAACTATACATGTTCCTATACCTATAATAAATCGTTTTTAAGTTATTTAAGATTTAGTTTGAAATTTGAAAACGTATATTTATCACAACGTATATACAGGGTCGTTTATTCGTATGGAAACAGTCGATTATTGGGTAAAATATACGAGGTACCGCAAAAAGTTAAATACAAAAGTTATAGGGTTTTTAAATGTCTATTGGCGAGTAATAACTCCAAAGTTTCACTTTTTTAACTGGACTCCCTATATATTATTGCCTATTTCAATTTTTCCTTCAATTCTAAGCAAAAATAGAGACACACAATGTACCTCAAACCAACCTTCGCCGAGTTATTTACTTTTGAGAATATCACTTAAACAATTTGATTTAATTGATTTTGATGTGTTCGATTTCATTTTAACGACGCCATTCTACGGAAACTGTGATACTTAATAATATTTGATATTGGTTTTCAAGTTTGCATTTATAGATGTATAAAATGAGATTATATCAAGTCTAGAAATTACAAAATCATTTAACATTTCAAAACCAAAACTCGATATCTCGCAAACGATTTAGGTACATTATTTGTATTACAATTTTTGCTTAGAATTGAAGGAAGAATTGAAATACCCAATAATATACAGGGGATTTCATTTAAAAAAATTAATATTTGAGGTATCACGACTACTTTAATTTATTACAAGATGTTAGGCATTAAAAGCCCCTATAACTTTTGTATTTTTAACTTTTTGTGGGACCTCGTATACCCAATAATCGACCGTTTCCATACATATCATCTACCTTGTATTAGACCTGTTCGGTGTTGAGGTTTGAACACCGGTGTTAGGTGTTGATGACCACCGGTGTTTCAGACGGTGTACCGGTGTCAACACCGACACCGGTGTTTATCTCGACACCGGTATTGCGATGAACACCGGTGTCGATGTCGATGGTGCCGTTTGTTTGTTTTTTTTTAGTTTTTTTAATGTAATATTTTTTAGTTTATTTTACAGCTACGAATTTTTATTTTTTTATGTTTTGTTTTGTTTTCTGTTTGTTTTTGATTAAACAATTTTTTACTCTATAGTTGTTTATCTGACGCTTCCACTTTATTTTAGTGATTAGTCTGGCAAAAAAATATATTTAAATTTAAAAGCTTTAAGTTATAGTCGGTGCGCTTTAATAAACGATAAAAATAAGCACCGATACGACATTGTTATTATCAGGTTTTATTTTGAACTTATTAATTAACATTATTTCTTCTTTATCCCGTTTACCAAACACCGGTGTCGCTACCAAAACCGATATCGAGATGAACACCGGTGTCCAGACCAACACCGGTGTCCAGATGAACACCGGTGTTATAGATGAACACCGGTATCGAATTGAACACCGGTGTCGGTGTCAACAGCGGAACACCGGATAGCCCATATTTGGCCACCGGTGTCAGCCCAACACCTGTGTTAAAACGGTGTTCCGGTGTTTGGAACAGGCCTACCGTGTATATCAACCAAAATAACATTTTTTGTTCCCTCGTGTAATTGACAGATGGAACTTTCATTTTCAATTTAGAAAGAGATACTAAAAAGTTAAATAATTTAGAGATTGCTTGAAATCATCAAAATCGGTCCACTAGAACACATCAAATACATCAAAATTTTAAGGTGCCCGTTTTTCGTGCCGAAGAGTGTAGATGGAGGAAGAGATTTAATGTAAAAATAGGCCAAAAACTCGAATAATTTAGCTACACATTGATTAAAAAACCATCAAGTCGATACACTAGAATAATACGCATATTGAACATGGACATTTTAAGGTGTCCATTTTTTATTCCATTCAGTGTAATTATTACTTGTTTCAAATATATACAGGCCCGGCAATGGATCTCTAGGCATAGGAATTACATGCATTGGAATGAAACGCCTATAAAAAGACATACACTTGACACAAGAGCAATATTAACGAATGTTGCCCCTCCTTAATTACTAACCAGCAATATCGACAGTTTCTTAGGTTAAAAAGACGACCCAATAACCTTTAAAATGATTAACGATTTCTGTTCGTTCTTAGTAATAGGACACCTACTGCTCCCTTCTATATACAATTTAATCTATATCGAAAAATGTTTTTTTTTCAGGACCCCCGTGTGGCCATGGATTTTTCCAAAGGCATTGGGCGTATCGTGCAGGATCCCGACGAGGCTGCGGAAATAGCCAGAAGTGAAAAGCGAAGCCACACTATTACTGCTGAGTGAGTACTATTAAATTTAGAAGACACATGGAGTCTAATTAGTAGGGTACAAAAAAATCAAGATTTAAAAAAAAAATATTTTTTATTTTTTATATTTTTTTGATCGAATCTCATTTTTATAATAAACAACTTAACAATGGTTAAATCTTCGTAAAGGCGCGTCCACATTTCTCGTGATCCTGCTCGCGCTCTTGCTTCTGATTGTGCTTGCCTTGCTTGCGCTTCCTGTTTGTTGTGTTTCTCAAGATCTTTCGGCAAGCAACGGCGTCCACATTGTAATGTAGTACTTATTTGCGTTCTTGCTGTTCTGACATGGATGATACCGAAGTATTTTTAATAGCGGCTGCTAGTGCGATCATTATTGCAAAACCAAGGAGACCAAAGAGAAATAAACCTGTGTTGGATGTCTAATAATTTCAAAAGTAGATCCCAGTACAGTGAAAGTAAACTTCTACTCGATTTACAAACAGAAAACAGACAGAATGTTTTTTAATAATTTTTATCGCATGTCCGCTACTGATTTTGAAAGACTTATTAATTTAGTTGACCCCCGTATAAAAAAATACAGCTTTTAGGAGGTGTATTCCGGTTAAAGTAAGAGATATAGAAAAAAAAATATTCTTTGCAATTGGAGACTCACATACTAGTTTGGGTTATTTATTCAAAGTTTCCAAGCAGAGCATTTCAAAAATAGTAGGTACCAGGCGCATGCCAAAATATAAACAAAGTTCTCAAAGATCAGAATAAGATAAGTAGGCAATATAAATATAGAGTTATATTTTATTAAAGGTATATTTAATATTATTAATCCAAGAACACAATTATTTTTAATTCCAAACAAAAAAAAATAAGAAAAATCATGGTAGCATCATCATACTGCAGTAAATACCGAATCCTATGAATGAAACCAAACTAGAGATGAGCGATATTTCACGAACTGTGTTTTTTTCACTGATATTTAAAAATCACATATCTCGATCGTTACTTTTTTTGCGAAGAAAGCGTGAATTGATATGTGATTTTCACACTATGCAAACGAGCAAAAAGTCGACAGACTTGTTTATCCGTTAAGTATTTAATATAACATAAACAAAATGGAAATACCGATACCGATTACCATTGCCGGCCGCCTCGCTTTCGTTTAATATCGCTTTTTTTAAAACTATAAACGGTGATGGTACATTTTAGGTACGTCGTCAATCTTGAAATTATTGATGTAAATTTGATATTAATATATTCTACAATTAATGTTTTAACGTTTTAAGTACGGATCGTACGAATACTCGGCTAAATCTTTGAGATTTGAGATCACTTCAATAAAATTATTTATTTTTTGAGGTTAGAAAAACAATTATTCTAATAAACTAAACAAACCCGGACCTTGTAACCCGGCATGTAGCCGATAATAAATGCAACTTGACTGAATACTGGATAAATGAATCAAACCCAAGCTTGTTTGTCTCAAATCTAAAAAAAATAGATATAAATAAACACGTGAGTATTACGCCTTAACTGGGAACGGGGCAACGGGGACGAAGCGACAAGACTTGTTATTGCTATTGAAACTGTGATCACATCACGTTTAAAAATCACTGATATTAAAAAATCACAGTAACAAATATCAGTGTGATTAAAAAATAAAAAAAAAATTTAGCGTTTTTTGTTGCCTCATTCAGTTTTGCTTTGTTTTGAGCTATTTCCAAAACGTGGCGGTTTGGTTTGGTTTGGTTGAAATAAGTAAAGCTAGACGTTTCTAAAATAGCTGTTGTTACGATGATATTTCGTTAATAATTACATCTCGTTTTATGTTATATTGATATACCTATATTCCACAGAATTAATATTTGAACACGCGTTTATTATATGTATGGTAGATATTTAGGAACAAAACTTTTCACTTAAACTGCAGGAATACAATTACAATATTTTTATGATTTAATTTTATTATAATGAATTAGTATATAAAATTGTATATTATGTTTGTTTACGGCCTTAATCTATACTAATACACACACCGGAAAAATCTAGGGATATCATTTCATTAAAGTTAAAAATAAATGTTTTGAATAAACAACCACATATTTGTAGGCCGATTCTTTCTACTTCGATTGAAACTAAGTAGTCACACTAGTTATTTCTAAATTTGAGATATTTGCAGAAGTGTTTGTGTATTTTTTGTCAAATGTATAAAAAGCACCAAGCATCAATTGTTCGAATTTAACCTGTACTGGCTATGTTTTTATGATAACTGACCAGAATTCATTCAAATAACGCTGTTTAGTATTAAACGACATTATGGAGCGTAGACATCTTAACAGAGACGAAATGCTAAGGGCCATGGGTATGCTCGAAGCTGGAATGCGCCAAATCGACGTTGCTAGAGCATTAAATACAACGCAAAGTGTAATATCGCAATTAAGTGCACGCTACCGTGAAAGTGGTGATGTTGCTGAAAGGCACACAATGCGACATCGCAATACTACCCCTCAGCAAGATCATTTTTTACAATTAAATGCTCGACGCCGACCGAATCTTACAGCACCAGAGCTTAGTTTAATTCTCCAGGAAACACATAATGTAACCGTTAGTCCTGACACGGTTCGCAATAGATTAAGAGAGGTCAACTTAAGAAGCAGACGCCCCTAGAGAGCTCAACCCTTACCGAGAGGAAATCGAGAGGTACGATATTTGTGGGCTCAAGATCATGTTCAGTGGTCGAATGAACAATGGGCCAATGTTCTCTTCACTGATGAGTCACGCTTTGGAATTCATCCGGATTCGAGAAGGCTTAGGGTATGGAGACAACCGGGAAATCTTATTCGGTTGGATCATGTTCAGGAAATGCACCCTTATCAAGGTGGAACAGTTATGGTCTGGGGAGGAGTCCAGTTAGGCCGAAAAACCGATCTCGTTTTTCTTGAAAGGTTTCTAACAGAAATCAAATATCGTGATTTAATTCTTGAGCCTGTCGTGTTACCATATGCCAATGATTTTGGGAGAAACTTTATTTTCATGCATCACAATGCACGGCCTCATACAGCCAGAGTGGTAAGTGAGTTTATCAATGCTCATCAATTAAACATCTTACCCTGGCCGGCACAATCTCCTGACCTCAACCCCATCGAGCACGTATGGGACTCGCTCCAAAGAAGAATTTTGAGAATGGGTATGCCTCGTGAAACTCGTAGGGATCTGGTTCGGGCCGTGAACGCAGCGTGGCAGGCTGTACCTCAAGAAGAGATCGACAACCTGATCAGGAGCATGGATAGACGATGTAGGGCTGTAATGAACAGTAGAGGAGGCCATACCCTTTATTAAGTAAAAATGGTTTTATCTTTTTTTTTAATTCACAGTTTAGAATAAAAAAAAATGTGTGTATTTTTTTGAGTTCAATAAAAATCAAGGTAAATTTGAAAAATTCGGCAAATTTCGCATTTTTATTTCCAATACGTCCTGTAAACTATTTGTTTATTTTAATTTTATTATATCAGAAATGCAAATAATAAAATTACTGACGATGGCTGGATAAAATTGTAACATCCCTAGACTTTTCCGGTGTGTGTATATAAAATCCTTAAGTGACTGACATACTGATTAATCACGATCCTGCTCAAACCACTCAACGTAAAGCTGCGTATAAATATGTCGAGACGAGTGCGAGAGACACCCGAGACGAGTCAACCACAAGCGGATTTGAGGTTGACTCGTCATATTGGGACGGGGTCTGAGCTTCGAGCCGAGCCTATGCCCAGCCGGACGGCGTTGTCTCCGTTTTTTCCGGAGCCTTTGGCGAACCATCAAAAGGATTGGGGCGTCTAATTAACCAGTGGCGTATACACCGCGGCTCCGCGGAACAATTGCTTCGAGTCTCAAGGGGCACGGATTCCACTTTCCACATCCCATTTTTATATAAAAATAAATATTCTTTCCTTTATTTGTAATAATGTTAATAATGCATCCTAGCTAGAAAGATGCAATTTTGTCTTCTCTAAAATAGTATAGGTAAGTTCGCCAAAGTAGGTAAATCTCATATACAAAGATTTATTAGTGATTTCCTTTATAAAAACATGAAAATTTTATGAAAAATGAATAAACGTAATGAACTTTTCGTCGAGTTATTAACGGCTCAAACGTAAATTATGCGCTATTTCTGCTGAACGGAATTAAAGATGTAAAACAAGCTTCTTTACATATAGGATACATCGAAGATAAGAGAGGCAAATCGAGTCTGTTGAAAAAGGTGGCCATGCTCTCAGAAGTTTCTTACGGTACTCTCATAAATAAAGGGAATCCACAAAGAAAGGAACGATTCGATATAGAAAAATCCAGAAATTTGAACTATCCAGACTACTAAGAAACTTAATTTATGGCAAATATGAAAATAATAAAGTTCCCGCCATAGAAATAATTAAAAAAAAACTCTCCGAGCTTTAAAAAAACCCTGTTCAGAAAGCACATTACGGCGAAGGTTTAAAAAACTGGGAATTAGATTTAAAATTATATACATAATAATATTTTAAAAATTATTAATAAGCGTGCTGCAATGATGGAAAGCCATAGAATAATAATGTGGCGAATTGAATACCTTGAAAAAATATACAACTTTAGAAATGAAGAAATGCAGATATATTATTTACAATATATGTTCCAGGTTAGTTATTGGCATTTAAATATTGAATATAAAATAATTAAAGACTCAAAAAAACGGCACTGGCAGAAGGCTCCGCCGCCGCCGCTGCCGTGCCGTTATCTCCAGGTATCTCAGTCGGCGTTCTCCAGTTTTTTTTTAATGTAAACAGTCCGAATATAATTTAAATTTATCATGAATTCCTTTAATTTATCTAGCTTGTTTTTTTACCTATTTTGAAATTAAACAAACATATACAGGGTGTTTCAAAAAACATGTTCCATCTCTCGTGGGGAAGTTCCTCACGTAAAAATAAGATTTATTTTTTATATCAACCAATCCAATTCTGCTTTGATTCGTAGCTACAGGGGGTTAAAATAGGGTTCCCAACCGTCCTCTATTCCAGAAACAGTCCTCTTTTTGATCTGATTGTCCTCTTTTCTCTCACGTATTGAAAACTTTGTTACATACTAACTTCAAAATCTAAAAAATATTCGTTTATCGCCACAATGCTTTAAAGAATTGTTAATCTGTGTCTTTTATGTAATTTTATGTTTACTTACTGTTAGTTTATGTCTTGAAAAAAAGTTTGTTGACAATGGTTTGCTTTATTTTAATAAGTTTTGAGTATAAATATTTTTGTGTATTTTAAATATTTATCGCATACCGTTTATATAACTTTTTGGTAAATTCTCGACATTTGAGCGACGTTTCAAAAATGTTTCGCCTGTGCCTTTTTTTATCCTCTCGCCCCTATTTTTTATTTTCAAAGTTGCCAACCCTAGGTTAAGTGTTTTATCATTTTCTTCCAAGTGCTTTTAGTAATTTGAGATCGTTTGATGACTGATTTAGTTCTGATCCGGGTAGTTTTTTGTATAAAACAGTGCCACCATCGTCGATTTTTTTCGTTAAATGCGAATAAGAAAATATCCTGATTATATTCTGGCCCTATCCCTTATTATTTTTATTTACAAGCGATCTTAAGTTTATAACATATACATATATTTTATTTAATTGTTAACATTAGGGTAGTTTTACCAATTGTGTATGTGTGGAATTCCACTGATATGTGTTTTAAGTTGTTTGTTAAATTTTTAAAATTTTTTGATTGTATTTTGCTCTCTTAACTTTGTAGTGTCCTGAAGATGCAAATAAATTTTGCGAAACGTCGACAAATTTAAAACAAAGGACTTCTGTTGATTTTTTTCGATCCTAATCCAATTAAAAAACACATTATACTTAAATTTATTAATTAATTTTTTAAAATATTGAATGGTATCGAATAATACTTTAATATATTTATCAATATTTTAAAGTATCGATACTTTATATTCAATACAACCGATACCAAAATATCGATACTGCCTCAGTATCGCACAGCCCTATGAAGAATTTTGTGGGTTCGCCAAAGGCTCCACTGAAAATGGATAGCCGCGAGACAACGCCGTTCGACTGGGCAGGGACTATGCTCGAGGCTATAATATGACGAATTCCGCTTGAGGTTGACTCGTCTCGTCCTCGTCTCGGCATATTAGTACGCCTTTTGGAAAGAATTTGCTATAGCCTCGTTTCATACTCGTTTCGGGTTTGTCTCGTACTTGCCTCGGCATATTTATACGCGGCTTAAGAAGTTCAAATTTGGCATACAGGTTGATTCTAGGGTGTAGAAGTTCGATAAGAAGGGATTTTTCGAAATTCCAGTTCCAAGAGGGTGAAACGACCCCTCAAATAATATTACAATATTTTTTATTTAAAAAACGGTCAAGTTTCCGAAAAAACGTATAACTTATATACGTATATCACGTATATTTTATTTTGTTTTTTACATATTTTAAGATTTTTTAAAAATGTATACAGGGTGTTTCGAAAAATCTGGTCATTGATTAATCAAGATCCTGCTTAAAGCGCTTGACGTAAAAAGCCGATTTTTGGGAAACAGATTGACTTTAGGGTGTAGAGGTTCGATAAGAAGGGATTTTTCGAAACTCGAATTCTAAGGGGGTGAAACTATCCCTCAAATATTAAAATATTTTTTATTTAAAAACCGGTGAGTTTTTCGGAAAAACACGTATATTTTATTTTGTTATTTTACATATTTTAAGATTTTTTATAAATTTATACAGGGTGTTTCATAAAATATGACCATTGAATAATTACGATTCTGCTTAAATTCTTGACGGTTAAAGCTGATTTTTGGCAAACGGATTGACTGTGGGGTGTAGAGGTTCGATAAGGAGAGGTTTCTCGAATCTCAAATTCCAAAAGGGTGAAAACGCCCCTCAAATATTACAATATTTGTTATTTAAAAAACGGTTAGTCTTTTCGGAAAACGCTTGGACAAGCATAATTTATTTGTTTTTTTTACATATTTTGAATTTTTTTAAAAAATCATACAGGGTGTTTCAAAAAGTTGGTTAATTTCTTCTAAAACCAAACCAAACCAAACCACGATTCTGCTTAAACTGCTTGACGTAAAAAGCTTATTTTTGGCCAACGAATTTTTCGAAAGTCAAATTCCAACGAGATGAAACTACCCCTCAAATATTACCAAGTTATATAACAATATCGCCATATTGTTTTTTCTCAAGCTGACATTTCCAGAAATGATATTTCCAGAAATATTTCGTAAAACATTTCGGGGATAGTGTAGCGGCTGTTATACAGGGTGATCCGAACTGTATTCCGGAAACTTCGACAGCATATTCTGCAGATAAAAATAAGTAAAAAAGTTGATATAAATGTATGTCCTAAAATGCTTAGTTTTGGAGATACAGGGTGTAGAAGTTACAATTTTATTTCGATTTTTTCCAAAGATTTTCATGTCAATATGACTCCTACTTGTGGAGGGCGCCACCTACATATTTTTAACTGTTTTGAAGAGTAATAACTTTTCGTCCGTACCTGTATAAAACAACTGAGTAAAAAAATATGCATTTAATATCTGACAAACGAATCTAAAACAGCGGAAGGAATTCGGGCAAAAAAAGTCGATGTTGTCACGTTTAATTATAGAAAAGCAAAGTTGCTCGATATTACCTATAAATTGAATATATTTTAGTTCATTTCAGCATACATAATTATATATATGCTAATATGTTGACGTAGTTCTTATTGTAATAATGTATATTTATCTAATTAACAGTTTTCGTTCATTCTGCCTATTATAAAGGTAAAGTATTTCCCTTAAGATAGTGTCCGCTTAGGGTAAGCTGGCAACGCTGACAAAATTCATCATGGCATCCCGGATTCAACCAGTCTGATTGGTCGAGATTCTCGCACGTCTTGCCGCCATTACCCCCAACTTTATGCCCTTCTCTAGGAATAGTAGAAACAGTCACTACTATTGAAAAATCCAGTGGCGGGGTTATTGTATTGTGTTTTATATCTTTAACTTGATTTGTGTTTATTGTAATTAGTACACGCGTTTTAACAAATATTACTATATTTGGCAAATGACTAAACAAAATGTAGGTACATTTAAAGTAAAATAATATTATAAACTTTGCTGGAAAATATTATAAAAATTCCTGATATATTTTTATGACACATCGCACGCTCGTGGATATTTTATGAATGAAATCGGTCATGATTTTAGAAAATTGCGATCCCCTCACCGTTGCCCCGTTGTTTCAGATCCGTTTGTCAGACTGTACAACGTTTTTTACGTAAAAAATGTATCTTAGTAAAAATCGCTACGAGTAATGGTTCTCGAGATATTTGAAATCGAAATTATCAAAACCTGTCATCTTTGTCAAAAATTAAGCATGTTGACTAAATAGGTATTAGGCTGAAACAATTAATTTGGAATGTTTTTGTGCTAAAAGTTCTTTATCATCATTTTTTCTCAGAAAAATTTAAGATTAATTAAAAGAAATAAAAAGTTCCCAAATTTATCATTTCAGTCAAATATCTGTCTACTCAACATGCCTATTTTTTGTCAATAATGACATGTATTGACTATTTCCATTCTAAATATCTTGAGAAGGGTTGTTCGTAGCGACTTTTACCAAGAGACATTTTTTACGCAAAAAATCACAAAAATGTATATTTTTTCACTCAGTAGTTTTATACAGGTACGGACGAAAAGTTATTACTCCCGAAAACAGTTAAAACACATGTAGATGGCGCCCTGTACAAATAGGAGTCATATTGACATCAAAATCAAATTTCTCATGTCAAAAAACTTCCAGACACCAATTGTCATCCAAATGTTGAGGTTACTTCAGAAATTATTTGGAAAAAATCGAAATAAAAATGAAACTTTTACACCCTGTATCTCCGAAACTAAGCGTTTTAGGACATACATTTATACGAACTTTTTTACTTATTTTTATCTGCAGAATAAGCTGTCGAAGTTTCCGGAATACAGTTCGGACCACCCTGTATATTCATAGGAAATTGAATTCTCTACAAAAAAGGTCTTTTAGAATTTTTTGTAAACCTCACCGTTCGACATTTATTAAAGGTTGAAGTTTGATTATTTTAAGGCATATTTCTTTTTCCTGATGAATTTACCGCCTTGTGTGTTTTGAGTCTAATAGAAAAATATTTTTTTAGGCGGCAAGAAGCTAGTTCGTCTTCGTCTGGGATTATATCAGCTCCATTGGATGTAATGAGGTTTGGCCCTCACTTAACCCAGAGATATTATCATGGCAACATGGTTACCAGATCAAGAGCCAACGCCATCCTTAAAAGACTCAATTGCCCAGGGTGAGTCAAATGTTCTTAATTCAGCTTTGTTCGTTTTGAAATGTTCAATTCAGTGGTAGTGCACATTTGAAAAATTATATTTTTATAGCGTCACACAGTGGTTCAGAATTTGAAAAAGCTGCTCATTGGATATTTTATTGATTAAATTGGGAATTTTTGAAGATAGTATGCAAATTTATGAATATTTACTATAATTTATTATAAAAGTAGGTATGAAAAAGATATTTTACCCTATAGTTAACTAATTTTTATTTATACAGTGTCCGAAATTGATTGATATATTGCGATGTCGAAAACTGCTAGAGGTAAAAAAATGGTTAAATAGGGAAAGTTTTCAGACAAGTCTGTTTGTAATTTATGTTTGTGTTTCTATTTCTATCACTTTTGGTTTTTGAGATATTTTGAAAAACCTCAAAAGAGGCATTTTTGAAAACACCCTCTAATTTCATTATTTATGAAAATTTTTGAAATCTGTCAAAACTCTCTTAAAACAACTTTTTACGTAGAAAATATCTGTGTAATCAGACTTATGGCAAAACACCGAAAAGTAAGATTTTTAATAAATTTGGCAACTTGAAATACATGAAATATTATAAAACCCTTTGGAAAAAATAAAGAACTACACAACGTTTATTTTACATTTTACAAAAAGGGATTTAATAGGAATAAATAAACAAACAATCATGTTCTCAAGAAAATTCATAGTAATTAAGTGCGAAATAAATTATTATGAAGTTATATATTCAAAATTACAATATTGAAAAATTATATTGTATCCTCGTATTCATAAGTTTCATTAGGCTTTCGTTTTTGGGGAAACGGATAACTCAACAAATTGTTTTTTTGCGGATGGACCTGATTCTTCAAAATCCATGAACTCTACTTCCTCTTCAATAATCGACTGACTTAGCCAGACATTATTTCTTGCCAAAAATGTATCCTAACAATAATTGCTGCTTCGCCATCTGTGTCCCCAACCACTTAAAAATGATTTGATCTTACCTAGCTGTGCCGAAGCACTCTTTTGTTCGTTTAAAAAAAAACAAATGTTATTTGCTATATCAATTTCCTTTCTATTTTGTAATCCGTTTTTTAGAAACTTGGCGCAAACGGTTTGGCGTGTGATTACACCTGAAAGTCAAAAAGGTAAACCTAAAAGTGGAACAAAGAGAATAGTAGGTATTTTAACACAGAGTATTTACAGTTTCATAATAGTTTTGGAACAGTTACTAAATAAAATACTTGACTTTATTACTTTAAATAAGTATTACTGCGCAAGGGGGGTGCAGGGGGGTGCGAAATTTGGACGGTAAAAACCTATTAGTGAACAGAATATTTCTGTGAAAAAATTAACGTGGGTCCTCGCAAACCTCTAAAGTTTTATGAATTTAAATTTAAAATTTGAAAAAATTATAACATTTTGTTTTATTCAATATATTATTGCCGGTAACATATGTATTGCAAAGGATAAAATATAAAAATGAACACTTAACTATGTCTTCTATACAGGTATATTCTACACAGAAAAATATTTTGTTTCCAATGCGGTACTATCGAATGAATCCACTTCTCAACATTGCATTTTACACATCTTTAAAAATAGGTCACAAAACAAGATAAGCAAAACGCTGTAAATATGTTTTTATGCATTATTGGTCAAAACCATTTTAAGTGAAGGTAGATTAAAGTCTGGTATCAATAATAAATGTGTTAAATATACTAAATTTGCAACTCGAACTTTCGCATCTATGAGCAGCTTTTTCAAAATCTGAACCATTGTCCGTCGTAACTCGAGCCCTATGTAAGCTAGGGGGCCGAAACTCGGAATGTAGATGGGGCTCGAAGAGCCCTATCTTTTCATGATATCACTCCATCATCAATGGCGAAAAAATCGTTCGATTGAAAGTTGATTGACCTTACTATACTGACTATACCTTCCGTATCAGCTCTCTTCCGTTTCCTTTCCTTTTACGTAAAATATTATATCATATAAATGAATAGGACAATGTACACTATCCGTTCCGTTTCCCTTCCGTTCCTTATCCTTTCATTCCATACATTTTTTTGGCGGACTGACTGAAGCGTATCGGAAACAGCGTTGTCAAGTTCTTACATTTGTACCAGCTCTGTTAAAATCTTGCTGATATTTATTTATTATTTCTCCACCTCTTAATTAAATCTATTACCTTCTTCAAAACATACAAATTTTTCGTAATAATATAAATTATACAATAAAAAGTATGGAACTGATACGGAACGGAAGCTTACGTATAGCGTCAATACAATAAAAAATACGGAACGGATATGGAATGGAAACGGAAGGTATAGTGAGAATCAACCTTTAATGGGTCTTTGGAGCGTCATAACACTAGCCCTATGTGAGCTAGGGGACTGAAACTATCTTTTCAGTCCCTTCAGCTACGAGACCCCATCATCAATGAATCTAATCAAAAAATTGTCGGATTTAAATGGAATTTGGTATGTCGATAGTTTGGACCAAGGCTAACTTGACCGTGTACGATACGTGTGATTGTGACAGTTAATTTTAACATAAGAGACGTCAAAAGTTGATGTTATCCGATCGCGACCAAATTTGGTGGGTAGGCTATGTTTCGAACCGATGTCTCTAAATGGACGAAAACTGATAAACAGTTCCATCAAATTACAATAAATCTAGGGTTTATGCATAAAGATTGTAAAATTACTATTCATCTTAATAGGTTTGCTCATATGTCTAGGAAGATTGCTTAAATTGTATTATAATTTCGAATTCACACACACTGATTTGTAATTTTACCCATATTTTGTTTTGTAAATCAATAGTAATTTTACAAAAAAATTTAATAGTGTAATTATGGTGCATCTAATAATTTAATGTGTATGGCTATAGGAGAGGATCCTAGAGATTACAAAAAAAAATATAGGTGGATGCAAAACAAATTCATTTTTTGTTTCAAAAAGTTGCACCTAGAATTAAAAACCAAGACATATAATGCGTAACACTATTTCTTCTCGGCTTAATCTAGAAATTATTCTTCTTTTCTTAATGTTGTATTTCGGATTCTGTGTGTTCCATACACACTCATATTTTTATAAATATTAATAAACCTCATAGCATTTTCTTCTCACCACCTACTGGCCACCATTAAAAACACCACTTGAACGTCAAACGTTAAACAACAGTCAACTGAGACTTGAATCATTTGACATGATTTGTCCACCTCATGACAGGAATAGTACAGACAGGTGAAACAAATAAAAGTGTGTTACTTACTTACTTACTGCCATTACTTGCTGACGAGTATTTGACACGCATCAGAAGATGGTTACGCAAGGCGTTTCCTGTCATGAGCTTTTCTGTGACTGAATAGCCCGATACGTGATGTTATCTCTCTTCCGCACTCCGGACATTCAAAAATCTCATTTCTTTGTTGCCTCTTTATTGTGCGCTGCTTCCTCCCACTGATGCTGCATACTTATCCCCTTTAAGTTTTCATGGAAAACATCCTTGTATCCTTTGAATTGTCCACTCGATTTCCTATTACCCTGTACAAGTTCACCATAAAGAAGAGATTTCGGTAGGCAATTTTCTTGCATCTTGCATACATAGCCAACCCATCTTAAGCGAGATTTAGTAATCATGACTTCAGCGCTCTCGCAGCTTGCTTATTCAAGGACTGATACGTTTGAGACATGGTGGTACCATTTGATTCTTAACAGTTGTCTAAGGTGTCTCTGTTGCAACTTGTTTAATGCGCTCGTGTGCCGGCGGTACGGCACCCAGGTTTCGCTTCCATATAACATGGTGGAGATTATTACTGCACGATACACTGCAAGTTTCGTTTTTGTGCTCAAGTCATGATTGTAGAAAACCCTGTCCTGTCTTTTAATTTTCAGAATGCTCAATATTTGCAGAGTCAATATTTGCCTTTTCCGAAATCAAACTGCCAAGATAATTAAATTCCGATACATATTTCATTAGGTCTTCTCCGATTTTTATAGCGCCGTTAAGGCCCAAAGTCTCGTATGTCCATGTATATGTATTCAGCATTTCCCGTAATTGCTGTAACGTATTTGCAACTAGAGCGCAGTCATCAGCGTATTGGAGTTCTGTGATTAATTTTATACGTATTTTTGCTTTTTATGTTGAACAGACCGCCGGTATCCCTGTATCTCACACCCATTCCTCTTTCCTGCAGTTTGCTGTCCATTATAATAGAGAGCGCTGCCATGAATATGTTGAATCCATGATGTGACACTCTCGACTTGTTATTATAGAGGCTTTTACACACAGTAAGAAATTTGTTGGGTACTCCGAACTTTTGCATAATTGCCCAAAGTGCATCTCTGTTTACAGAGTCGATGGCAATGACTAAAGAATACAAGGACAAATAGCAACCGAGACCAAACTGTGACCATTCTTCCAAACAGTGCCGTGGCACATATTTTTCTTAACATAGCCGCTTGAAGCCATATTTATATTTTTGGTAAATATTTTCACTACGCCTCTGGGGGGTCCTGTGGTATCATACTAATTAATTACGAAAAAAAACGTATTAAAATTTTAACAAAAGGTACAAAACTAGTATCGACGTATAGCACATATCAAGTACATATAGATGTTAATTGAAATTGAGGAATAATTATCGAATTCAATAAAAAAGCGCTAAAAAGGTGTAGTGGACTGTTTATTTCCCTATTAAACGTAACTCCTGGATCTTTCTTATCATTACGCCTTTTACACTTGAAAGCTGAACAAATTACCATTGTAATAAAGTTTATACAAAGTTCACTACACACAACCAACTATTAAAAATCGCTAAAATTGTCGCTGATGAACAGCTGATGATTCATTCGTTATGTCCAAAAAAATGGCGTCTAAAGGTCACAAATTTTGCTGCAGCCCGTATATGGCCGTAACATGTCCTTGTATTCTTTAGTCATTGGTCGAAGGCTTCCGTTAGGTCGATGAATGCAACATAAAGTTTACTCTGCTGTTCCTTTACTTTTTCCTGTAGTTGGCGGACGGAGAATATGGAATCAACGGAACCCCGGTTGGTGCGAAAGCCCGTTTGCGATTCTTGGAGGATTTTTTCTATATGTGGATGAAGGCGGTTTGACATAATTTTTGCGATAACTTTTCCTCCGATAGCCAGTAGTGAAAAAAGTGTGTTAAATAAAAAACGAAAAACAAATTAATTGCTCTGTGGTTCTTTATTTAAAGCCAAAGCTATAAAATTTATGTATGTACAATATTTCGTTATCTCAAAATCGCATCGAGTTCTTTCTGGGTTACGTCTGTATTTAGTACCCTGACATAAACTTCTGTTAGTAAAAATTAAACGTTAACGTGTTAATCTCCGAGATTTGAATTAATCGTAAACAACATAAACACAGCGAGGTACGCCTTAATTGGGCAACGCGTAACATTATAACGTCCCCGTACAACATTTACATGTATTTTACGATTCTCTTTTTGACAGTTTTATCTGTTCAATCTGTGATCGTACCGGATGCTTTGTGGTACTGTCTTGACCATGGCTCGGAACCAGTCTTTGGTGTAGGGAAATTGGTGTGTTACATCGCTAGTTTTAGTGTTTTCGATTTTAACTTCTTTTTCAGATTTCAGGATAAAGATTTTTTTACAAAATCTAAAAGATAAATATGGCTTAGTGAACTGAAGCTATACCACAGAATAAGTATTGTTACGGATTCCGTGGGTCCACTGATTTAAACTCACGATAAAATACTTAACGAATTTATTTGTCTCACTCTGTACACACAACTTATACTATTTACAACACAATTTATGCAACTACTATTATTCTAACAGTACTGGCACCTTCGCCAATTAATTCACAATTTAAAGCGCGGTATTACAGTACAACCAGTAATACAGTTTAGTGCTACATACATCTTGACAGTATTATTATTACTTATTCTGTGGCTACACTATGGTAATAAAAAAATATTTAGCGTACAATCGTACAATAATATTACTTTTATCTACTCATATGAAGCGTTTAAAGTTCGATTATCCGAAATTTTTATTTTGTTTATTAACATTATTGTTTGGTGTTAATATAGTTAGTTCCTTGATTTGTCACATTTTACTTTAATTTTGTTGATAAAAAGCTTATAATTAGTGATGGATTAAACCGATTAATTTCAATAATCGAGTATTCCAGTTTCAAGCGATTTCAATAATCGAACGATCGAATTTAAAAATACAAACGTCGCTTGTTGTCCTCGTAACGCCAAGCAGTAAGTTGCGTGCGCAGACCACATTATTCTTTCGGTGATGAATGGCAAGTAGCAAGCGACGAGCGATTCGCTTGATTACTTCATTTAGTTTATTTCAAAGCATTGTCGATGTAGGTCGTAAAATGTTGTCACTCAGATACGCAACGGATAACGTCGTATAAATTTGCTATCTGCAATGTATATGTAGAAAATTCGCTCGGCTTGTTTACGAGTAGGTATGTCACATTAAAATTGGATTTCAATTTATTTCATTCTAGGATCGCTTGCGTTCACCGCTAGTAACCAGAGTTGCCAACTCTGCAAGATGGATACCCACTAGATTCGTATAGTTAAAACCGCTAGAATCCGCTAGGGGTGATATTGAACCTGAAATTTTGCTTTTTCCTGTATTTTTGAACTTTGTATTAAAGCTTTCATCACCTGATGAGGCGAATTTAACGTGACTTTGAAGATTCTAGGCCTAGGTACTATAAGATTATATGATTTTTACGCGACTATGAGACAAATTTTGAAAAAAAGTAAAATTTTCGCTCGAGTTATCACTACTTATAATGTCCATCCTGTTGGGAACAAAAAATGTCTAGTGATGTTTTGAAGGAATTTGCAAGAATGTGTCTGTATTAGTGATGTGTCGGTATTTGTATGTTTTTTATCATGTTTTTTTCTGTACTTGCATCCCTTCTTTTAGTGTCGTAACCATAGAGTAAAGCCGTAAGCATGATAGGTTAAGAAATAATTCTAGCGTGGGTAAATTTGCGGTGAACAAGCAGTTCTAAAAAGTTATCTAAAATATACAGGAAAATTTAAAAATAATGCATGATTTTCTACATCTTTGTTGCAAAAAAAATAAACAATTTTCCACGTTTCTTAATAATAAATAAAAGCTATTTTCGCAATTATAACTCGTGTACCCTATAATATTTTCAGTATAAAAATTTCACCCTTTCGATTAAAAAAATCGTTTTTTTTAATGGAACACCCCCTATATAGTATTCCTTTCTCTATAATTTGCTATCTCAAAGAATGTGATCATTTTGTTTATCCGAACTACAGTAAAAAACAACATGAGTCCGTGTTGTCATCTAACTAATGGCTTACCATCCAACTGCAATATGACTAAAATCATTTAGTCTCCTGCAGGACTGTCCCAAGCTTTTTAATAATCCTTTAGAAGTTCGGAAGAAAAAACTTCCTCTTATTGTATCGGTGACATAATTTTATTTACCCGTTGTTTCTTAATAAAATCACGACAGTATTGTAATAAGAATATTAAACTAAAAAATGTTAATTTATGCTTTCTTGAAAGTAGTCAATAATATATATTTTTTAATGTGCAAAATTTGCATTTATATTATGCGATCTTTATCATTTAATATATTGTCAATTAAAACGCAAATGCGCTAAAACGAGAGTGTTTTAATTACTTTGTAATTTATTACAGGTATTATAAATTTTGGTCATGATTTTATAATATCAAAAATGACGACGCAGATTAAGTTAACAAAGTATTTTTATTTATTAATTTGTATACAGGGTGTCTCAATGTCGGCTCTCACCATTAGAATCTCGGAAACGGTACAGGGTGGCCTAAAAAAAAGCCTGTTAGTGGGCCAATGGCAATCCATTTTGTTGAATGGTATAGGCCATAGAGAAACTAAAATAAAAGAGTGTTTGAAAGGTTGTCTAATCACCGTTTCCAATGGTGAGAATCGAATTTGAAACACCCTTTATACATATTAATAAATAAAAAAAAAAGTATTAATAACAATAATTTGTAAAAATGTACCACGTTTTTTTCACTTATATATTTGCATATAATAATACATACTATCAATAAAACTGTAAAAATTTAAATCAGGTTCAATGTTTTATTTATATCTGTTCGTATAAATTGAATATGTAGGTCAATGTCTATAGAAATGTATTTGTCGTTTGTATTAAATTAATGAGGGAATTACATCTGGCTAATATCTTAATCATATTATCTCGAAAGATATTTCTTCATTTATTTAAGTGCTAATAACGTTAAATTCTACATATACAGGGTGTCCCAGGCTGAGCTTGTAAAACAAGTTTCGAGGGAACCAAAATATCTTCTTAATTTTTTTACAGTGAAAGCTCTTCATTAAAAAATATTTTCAATTCGGCGGCACTTTTTTCTAGAAACTTCTAATGCAAACTGAGCCTGGTACACCCTGTATATCTAACTTAGACATAGAGTTTAATACTTTATGAATTATGTATGTAGTTTTAATTACAGGGTGCTCATAAAAGTATTTTTTTTTATTTTAGTCGGCATTCAAAATAAAGGTAAAAAAACTTTGTATAGAGATTTTTTGTACCTAAATATTATAATTTTCAAATCAGTTGCATATTAACATTTTCCTAAAAAAATATTTAATACTTGCTACATTATTACACTTAGTAGGTCAGGATTTATCTCTTTAATATTTATTTTTTTAATTAGAGGTATTAATATCACAGGCCGACATGATTTTTGTAACACGAGTCAGTTGCAGAATTTCTTCATAAAAATATGCTTCTAATAACAGAAAAAATACTCCTGAAGCTCCTACACGTACCACTTTTCAGTTGCCTAATTACGCCTCTTTTTTGCAGGTAGTCAATTTTATAGATGTCAGGTATTAAGTCTAGGTAGATTCGTTTACATACAGGTAAATTTTATGATGGGATGATTGAAAGGGACGCATTTTGTGCACTATAATATATTGTGAAAACATAAGAGAGTTCAGTTTTCAGTTGATTTTCGACGTGAGTTGTTCTATGCGTGTAGATAAATAGTACGAAAATGTCAAGTCAAACGCGCCGCAGTTGTAAAGTGTCTCCTGATCGATTTTGTTACATTTGTGGAGAATTTATGGTGCAATCACAAGCCAGACCATTTTCTGAAAATGTGAAGAAAGCCTACTTCAAGTATTTTGGAGTTTTGGTTGGAGATCAAGACAAGCAGTGGGCTCCTCATGTGTGCTGCGTTACTTGTAGCGTGTCGCTTGTGCAGTGGATGAAAGGAAGAGGAAAAAAATGCCATTTGCGGTTCCAATGGTATGGCGAGAACCAACTAACCATTTTGACGATTGCTATTTTTGCCTGACGAAAACTGAAGGTTTTTCCAAAAAACAAAAGCACAAGATCGAGTATCCCAATTTGCCGTCTGCCATACGACCTGTTCTTCATGGTGCAGATCTCCCAGTGCCGATCGCGCCCTTAGACTGGCAAGGTATTGTTTTGGAAGATAAGGAAGATATTGAATCAAACAGCTCTGGAGACCAGTGTACTGATCCTACCTTTACCCCAGAGGGCGGTTCCGACAAGCCACATTTGATTGTTCAAAGCGAGTTGAATGACTTAGTGCGTGACTTGGGGTTATCAAAGCAGCAGTCAGAACTTCTTGGATCCCGGCTTAAGGAATGGAATCTGTTAGCCAATGAAACAAAAATCACCACTTTTAGAAAAAGAAATGCTCCGTTCTCTGCATTCTACAGTATGGAGGATTCGTTGTGTGCATGTACTGATATCGATGGCTTAATGCAGGAACTTTCTATAGAACATTCTCCCTGTGAGTGGCGCTTATTCATAGATTCGTCGAAATATAGCCTAAAAGCTGTGTTATTGCATAACGGAAATTTAAAACCCTCTATACCAGTTGCCCATTCAGTGACAATGAAGGAAACTTATGAAAATATGCGCATGCTTTTAGATAGAATCAACTACAACAGGTATAAATGGCAGATATGTGGGGACTTGAAAGTTATAGGAATTTTAGTGGGACTTCAGGGAGGATTTACAAAATATTGCTGTTTTCTTTGTTTGTGGGACAGTCGTGCAGTAAATCATCATTATGTACAGAAAATTTGGCCAGAAAGAAGTGAATTTCAACCGGGTTCCCAAAATGTCAAGTATATCCCTCTTGTAGACCCCAAAGACGTCCTCCTGCCTCCTCTTCATATCAAACTTGGCCTCATGAAAAACTTCGTGAAAGCTATGAATAAAGAAGGTGATGGATTTAAATACCTAAGGCAAGTCTTTCCCCAGTTGAGTGATGCCAAATTGAAAGAGGGTATTTTTATTGGACCACAAATCAGGAAATTGTTGGACGACACAAATTTCACAGACACGCTTACCAGGCAGGAACTCAGAGCATGGACCTCATTTGTTAGTGTAGTGAGGGGATTTTTGGGAAACAATAAGGATGCGAACTACGAACAATTGGTTAATGAGCTTTTAGATGCTTATAAATCGCTTGGTGCCCGAATGTCTTTAAAAATTCACTTTCTCCATTCTCATTTGTCATTTTTCCCTGAAAATATGGGTGCTGTCAGTGATGAGCAAGGTGAGAGATTCCATCAAGACATAAGGACAATGGAAATTCGTTATCAAGGACGATGGGATCCAGCCATGATGGGTGATTACTGTTGGTTTTTGAAGAGAGAAGACGCGGTCCCTCATAAAAGGAAAAAGTAAAAGTTTTTGTTTATGTTTTGATCTCGTTTCGATTGTTTTTGTACTTTTTAGGTATAAGTAATGTTTGAGGAGTGTAAACTATAAAATATAATCGGTATATAGGCTTAAGAAGTTCTTAAATCATGTTTTGAATAGCTATCTTAATATATTGAATATTGTAATATTGAATGATGTTTTATTAATGTAACAAAAAAACCTTACGTGTTACGACTTTTTTTTTGCCACTTTCGTGATTAGATAGGTTCATTCTACCACAATATCCTATTGAGCTTTGTGTTACATCGAAAAAATTTTTTTTTGTCGGCCTCACAGGCCGACATGATTTTTGTAACACGAGTCAGTTGCAGAATTTCTTCATAAAAATATGCTTCTAATAACAGAAAAAATACTCCTGAAGCTCCTACACGTACCACTTTTCAGTTGCCTAATTACGCCTCTTTTTTGCAGGTAGTCAATTTTATAGATGTCAGGTATTAAGTCTAGGTAGATTCGTTTACATACAGGTAAATTTTATGATGGGATGATTGAAAGGGACGCATTTTGTGCACTATAATATATTGTGAAAAACATAAGAGAGTTCAGTTTTCAGTTGATTTTCGACGTGAGTTGTTCTATGCGTGTAGATAAATAGTACGAAAATGTCAAGTCAAACGCGCCGCAGTTGTAAAGTGTCTCCTGATCGATTTTGTTACATTTGTGGAGAATTTATGGTGCAATCACAAGCCAGACCATTTTCTGAAAATGTGAAGAAAGCCTACTTCAAGTATTTTGGAGTTTTGGTTGGAGATCAAGACAAGCAGTGGGCTCCTCATGTGTGCTGCGTTACTTGTAGCGTGTCGCTTGTGCAGTGGATGAAAGGGAAGAGGAAAAAAATGCCATTTGCGGTTCCAATGGTATGGCGAGAACCAACTAACCATTTTGACGATTGCTATTTTTGCCTGACGAAAACTGAAGGTTTTTCCAAAAAACAAAAGCACAAGATCGAGTATCCCAATTTGCCGTCTGCCATACGACCTGTTCTTCATGGTGCAGATCTCCCAGTGCCGATCGCGCCCTTAGACTGGCAAGGTATTGTTTTGGAAGATAAGGAAGATATTGAATCAAACAGCTCTGGAGACAGTGTACTGATCCTACCTTTACCCCAGAGGGCGGTTCCGACAAGCCACATTTGATTGTTCAAAGCGAGTTGAATGACTTAGTGCGTGACTTGGGTTATCAAAGCAGCAGTCAGAACTTCTTGGATCCCGGCTTAAGGAATGGAATCTGTTAGCCAATGAAACAAAAATCACCACTTTTAGAAAAGAAATGCTCCGTTCTCTGCATTCTACAGTATGGAGGATTCGTTGTGTGCATGTACTGATATCGATGGCTTAATGCAGGAACTTTCTATAGAACATTCTCCCTGTGAGTGGCGCTTATTCATAGATTCGTCGAAATATAGCCTAAAAGCTGTGTTATTGCATAACGGAAATTTAAAACCCTCTATACCAGTTGCCCATTCAGTGACAATGAAGGAAACTTATGAAAATATGCGCATGCTTTTAGATAGAATCAACTACAACAGGTATAAATGGCAGATATATGTGGGGACTTGAAAGTTATAGGAATTTTAGTGGGACTTCAGGGAGGATTTACAAAATATTGCTGTTTTTCTTTGTTTGTGGGACAGTCGTGCAGTAAATCATCATTATGTACAGAAAATTTGGCCAGAAAGAAGTGAGTGAAGTATATCCCTCTTGTAGACCCCAAAGACGTCCTCCTGCCTCCTCTTCATATCAAACTTGGCCTCATGAAAAACTTCGTGAAAGCTATGAATAAAGAAGGTGATGGATTTAAATACCTAAGGCAAGTCTTTCCCCAGTTGAGTGATGCCAAATTGAAAGAGGGTATTTTTATTGGACCACAAATCAGGAAATTGTTGGACGACACAAATTTCACAGACACGCTTACCAGGCAGGAACTCAGAGCATGGACCTCATTTGTTAGTGTAGTGAGGGGATTTTGGGAAACAATAAGGATGCGAACTACGAACAATTGGTTAATGAGCTTTTAGATGCTTATAAATCGCTTGGTGCCCGAATGTCTTTAAAAATTCACTTTCTCCATTCTCATTTGTCATTTTTCCCTGAAAATATGGGTGCTGTCAGTGATGAGCAAGGTGAGAGATTCCATCAAGACATAAGGACAATGGAAATTCGTTATCAAGGACGATGGGATCGCCATGATGGGTGATTACTGTTGGTTTTGAAGAGAGAAGACGCGGTCCCTCATAAAAAGGAAAAAGTAAAAAGTTTTGTTTATGTTTTGATCTCGTTTCGATTGTTTTGTACTTTTTAGGTATAAGTAATGTTTGAGGAGTGTAAACTATAAAATATAATCGGTATATAGGCTTAAGAAGTTCTTAAATCATGTTTTGAATAGCTATCTTAATATATTGAATATTGTAATATTGAATGATGTTTTATTAATGTAACAAAAAAACCTTACGTGTTACGACTTTTTTTTTGCCACTTTCGTGATTAGATAGGTTCATTCTACCACAATATCCTATTGAGCTTTGTGTTACATCGAAAAATTTTTTTTTTGTCGGCCTGTGTATTTATAGGCTAAAAGTGGTTATATTTTTATTAGTTCGTCTGGAACAAATAACGTAAGTTCTTGGCACGTTTCCAAGTAAAATTTTCATCTCGATTCGTTTAAGCTTTAGTGCAGTAGCAATGAAGGCGAAATACGCTCGTTTACTTTAATAATATAGGTTTCTCGTGAAATAAAATATTCCACATAAACACTCTATGAAATTGGCATCTATATAATTTATATTTGCATTAAATTTGCAGACATTATTAATTAATTCTGATTATAATGTTGGAAATTTATTCAAGCATAAAGTAGCCTTTAAAATATTGCGAAAATATATTTCCATGAAATATAGTAAACACTACAATTCCAAGTAGGATATGATTGGACGTCATTAATACGTAAAAGTAACGCGAAATTACATCGTGGTGACCAAATATATACAATTATAATTTTAAATAATACCGTATGATCGAAAAAAAACGGCTATGGAATGATGATCATCATAATTTTATACAGGGTGAGTTTCCTACGATGTTCTCTATGGGTATCTCGGAAACTACTGGAGATAGAGAGTCGGTTAAATGGGGAAAGAATTGCAGTTTTGTGGGGTCATAAATATGCGCCTTTCAGATTTTTTAAAAAGTTCATGGCTTACTAGATATTTCGAAAAACACAAATTTTGGCTATTTTAAAAATTGTCCCTAATTCCATTATAATCTATTTTAGACAAAACGTTTTCAGATAAAACTTGTAGATAACCACATCCCTAATGAGTTTGTGTTATCAGATTTTTTCTAAAGCCATGTCATTTTTTGACATATGACACAAAACATATGAACACGACATGACTTCATAAAAAGCGCCATTTTTTAAGCTTTTCAGCGGTATAAGCTATAATATGTTTTTTTTTTTTCAAAAAATTACCGAGTGCCAATTCTTATCTTTCTTGACCAATTTCACTTAGTTGGCATGGTGTTCTTATGTTGTTATGATTTATAACTTATAAAAAGACAAAAGACATATATTATTAAACGGCTCTTTACAATTTACATTACACAAACTAAAACTTAAAAAAAATAACATCACTACAAACACGTTAAGTTATTTTAGAAAATGTTCAAAAAATCCGCCATTGTTTTGAGTACATAAATGCATCTTTTTAAAACTGAATTTCGAGCTATTCTCACAGAACGACCGGTCGACTTAATTAAACTTCTCCTGTACCGCCTCTTCGAGTGCCTTTCTTAATTCATAAGTTCTTTTGTAAACCTCTGTTGTTAACCATACCGCATAAAAAATGTAAAATGGATAGGTCAGGTGATAAAGGAGACCCATGCAATTAGTCCACCTGTTTCTATCCCTAAGTCTACATAATTATGATATAAATAATTTATGATATAACAATTTCTTAGATTGTGGGGGGGGTGTCATTATGAAAGTCATGTGGGAACCACTCTATTAATGCGCGAGTATCTAAATTTAACTTTTTCAAGACATGTTAGTCTTGAAAACCGTTCTCTAAAAAACGTAAGTAAGTTCACCGGTCCACGTATCCTCGAAACTGTATGGCCAAGAAAAGTTGGACCAATAATCCTACACGCTTTTCTTTATTTGAAAAATCCATATTTACAATTTTTGTTTATTTTATTTTACAAAATTTGGATGTGACAGTTTCACATTTCTGCGAGCAACGACAATTGACTAACTAAGTGAAATTAGTTGGCTGATGTGAATATATGATATAATAATGTGAAATTAGTCAAGAAAGATAAGAATTGACTATAATTCAGTAATTTTGTGAAAAAAAACATATAGCTTATATCGCTGAAAAGCTTAAAAAATGGCGCTTTTTATGAAGTCATGGCCAACTATGGTTTTCATTAATAAAAACATACGTTTGTGTTATGTCAAAAATGACAGGTTTTAGAAAAAATCGGGGAACACAAACTCATTAGGGATGTGATTATCTACAACTTTTATCTGAAAACTTTTTTGTCTAAAATAGATAATAATGGAATTAGGGACAATTTTTAAAATAGCCAAAATTTGTTTTTTTTTTTTCGAAATATCTAGTAAACCATGAACTTTTTCAGATATCTGAAAGGCGCATATTTATGACCCCACAAAACTGCAATTCTTTCCCCATTAAACCGACTCTCAATCTCCAGTAGTTTCCGACATACCCATAGAGAACATCGTGGAAAACTCACCCTCTATATAAATTTATATGGAAAATGTCATTGACTTTCATTTGTCAGCTAACTGGACGGAGTAGAAACACAGTGGAGCAGAAGTACGGAGATACCTCCGACTGCTGCACGAAGGACAAGGACTTGCTCCAGAGGAAGCAAAAGTCATAGCACTCCTCGGAAAAGAGGAGGCTAAAAGAACCAAGTAACAGCCTGGTACATGTCCACCAAATGACATGAGAGGAAGCGAGACCCTCACTTCTGCTCCGTCAACGAGAGAAAAAGCCAGGATAGAAAGCCGTCCAACACCGACAGGCAAGCAGGGACGTATCACCAGCTTTGCCACTATTGCTGGACAAGTGAAACTGGCGGTTCGGCCAAAGGATTACCCAGAGGCTGCACTGACCACCGACCAGCAAACGGCTCTATATAGAAAAGGCGATACTGGACGAAGTAGTAGCGAGCAGATTGCAACACAACGTTCCACAAAATGTGGGTCAGCTGCGATACACTTTCCATGCATCATAGATTCTCATAGATTGTGTATCTCAAGAGTCGGCGGATTTGTTGCTGGAAACGGCACCTAAGCTTAAGAATTGGTAGAGGCTGGGACTGCTTACAGTGAAGGGAGAAAACATCCCTAATGAGGCGACTATATAGATATAGATTTCCACTCCTCGGAGGAAGAACATCTTTTATCAGAGTGGGATGGGAAATACCATGTTCCCCGTACAACCGAATGTATTCCCTATGTATGATGAGTTATAATTCAACAAAGGGGGGGACACAACTGGTCGCCCCCTTCTCCTTTAAGGTCGCTGTAATTACCCCTCCCCCCTCTACTCATTCTACATTCTACAACACGTCTTACGATCTAAAGATAAATCTAAAGTCTCCTCACCAAACCAAATCATTATTTTTTACATATACATATATATTTTTTTATTTTTTGTTTCTGACGAAGGAGGGACATACAATACCACCTCAATTTTTAATTGATTTTCGCAGATTAGGCAAATTTGTTTACAAGAACAGAACCTCTGAGAAGCTGGTTTGCATTGGGATTCTACCTAACCGTGCTGACAACTGTTACTTTTGGGTCGGTATTTACATGAGTGGAAGTAAATCGCATAGGGATCTTATTAAGTCGGAGTGAGAGACTTGCGACGGTGTGCTGTTGCGGCGTTGCCGGTACGCCTTTCCCTATAAAATGAAGAAAAATCACGATCGCAAACCGCTTATTTTAAGACTTTTTTTTCGAAAGGATAACTAGATAAAATCATTAGATATGTTTCTGAGCATCTGACATGGAATTATAAGGATATCGTTAGGGTGTCGTATTTCTTATATCCCTATTTTGTATAACGAGGAAACGTCAGTAATCGCGATAATTTAAAAACTCAACTTATAACACGACTTAAGAAACACTTTAGAAACATGTTTAAATAAGAAAAATTCGATAAGGTTGTTACTTTTAGTGCAAGCAATTTTCAGCAATCGTATAATTTATTTTATTTATAAAAATTTTCACAAACTGTCTGCGAAGAAAATATAGCAGAAATATTAAATAAAGTTTTGAAAAAACTGCAATCAATTATTTCTAATAGATTTCGAGATATCGATTTTCGAATTTACAGTTCTAATAGCGCGACCACTGTCGAACACCAACTCAATTCCACTTATTTTTACCAAAAATATAAGTGTTTCTAACTTGCACTTCAAAATTTTCAAGCTATAGGGAAAATTACAACGACTCGTTAATAAATAAACAAATAAAGTATCACGAGACGTAATTAAATCGTGAAGCTCAACGCATGAACTTCTGCCTAGAGTTTTAAATACTGACAGGTGCTGATTGGGTTGACTTTCCACGTCTCTTAGCAATGTGTACAGTTTTTCGGTTTATTTCATACGTTTGACAACGTGTTTACTGTTCTCTCTTTGTTCAGTACATTATCAACGTATCGTACTCTTCTTACATATGGAAATCTCGACCCAAGTCAACCTTTGCCAGCCCTTGGTATATCAATGGCAGAAGTTGCAAAAGCAAAATAACTATTTTTAGTATTAATTCTGGTTCAAAATACTGGTGCCGAAATACACAGATACATTCCTGCATATCACACATAAACAATTTTTTTCAAACAATATTTAAATTGCATATTTATTATAGGATTTAGATATTTTTTTTATATTATACTAGTTTATTACAATGAAAGATCAAAAGGAATCGATTGTAATGAACTAATTATTTCATGAGAATTAATTTTCTGCGAAAGGCAATTATAACAAGTTTCTAAATAATAGAAATAAAAAAAGTATGTAATTAGAGTAATATGTTTCGTAACGGATTACATTTCTCGCCTAATTTGAATACAATTCCACTAACAATTGCAGCAACTAATCAGCCGATGGATATAACAAATTAATATGTCATTGTTAG